CGTACGCCGGCTTGGGCCCGCGGCCCGCACCGATAAGCTTGCATAACTAGTGGCACAAAACTTCAGCTGAAAGCAAACTCATGCTTTGTTTTTTTTTTGTTTTTTTGTTTTCTTTTTCTCTACTAAGACTTTGTTAGCATCTTAAACAGCGGCTGGCAAGCTGCTCTGGTACGGTACAGTATGGTACAGGACATGCTCCTTAATTTCCTAGAAAAACAGACGTCTTATTTGGTCGAGGGTTAGGACAGGCGCTACATGGGGTGACCCTAACGGTCAGAGGGACACTTCAGCTTGGATGCCATCTCACAACATTGGCCCCTATTAAATCGGCAACTACCTTACAGTCCTGTTCATTTACATCTTAATAAGGGGGTAATAAGGGGGTTTGGGTGGAAATAAGGGGGTTTGGGTGGGGGGCAAAATCCTCCAAAACTGGGCAAACCAAAGGCTGCCCACGTGCTGACGGTTCATGTCCTTCTGTGGCAGAACCGTGTCCGTCCTTCCCAGGGTGGTGGGATTTGGGGTTGGGGGAAAGGCTCTCTCGATTACATGACTTAAGGCAACGTTCATCTGAATTCATCACGATAACCAGCTAGGTCTTTTAAAAACGAACAAAACAGAACATAAAACGAAAAAAAAGGCACGAACGTTCAGTATTCCCCACATGCTTGCAAAAGCCGGAGCGAGGCACCGGCGGCGAGAAGCGTCCTCTTCCCCCAGGAAGCCGGTGCTCATCCCACCGGCATTCCCGGGTTCTCCGTGACGTGTCCTTCAAAGCAGTAGTTATCAAATTGGATGAACGGAATGAGATCGGTTTCTCGTAAAGTCCCGTCGTTTAATAAAGGGGACGGAAACCCCGAGGATGGGAGGAAGGGAGGGGCCGCTGTGCATCGCCCCGGCGACAGGGCACGTCTTGCCGACCACGTCGGGTGGCTCAAAAGCACGGCTCCCGCATCCCGTGTAAAAACAAAGCGCTCCGTCCGTGGACCAGGCCTAAAGCCTCCACCGTCAGGGCCTGCACGCGTTACTCCAGAGCGGAGTCTCAGTTTGTCTTCGGTCCGTTTCGGCTTCCCCGTTCTCAGGCGCTGTGCCCGTCCCCCCCCGGTGAGCCGCCGCCGATAGGATGCGGCCAGGAAGGGGAAGTGGGGAAGGGGGGGCGGGGCTAAAAAGAAACGGAGATAGGTGACGGGCAGTGTGGAGTCGTGGACTCTGATGTTGCCCCCTTTCTGCGTGTAGATGTCTCAAAGCAGCCCCCCTGGGCCGCCACTACATGGGAGGCTCCTCCTCCATAGGCTCCTCCTCCGGCCTGCAGGGGGCGACAGAGGAAAAACAGGGGACTTAGTGTCACAAATCCAAAAGAAAGGTCGCATGAGGAGAAAGACGTGTGATGAGGTGGAGGAAGCAGATGGAGCACTGTGGTCAGCGATGCCGCAGGCTCAGGTAACGTTAAGAAAGAGACCCTCGAGCAATTTCAGCACCAAGCAGAACATCCTAGAAAGTACTGTGTGCGGCCCCACAGAGGTTGGACCAATGCTGCTTGGTCAGGTGACACACAGGTTGCAAGTTAAGTCTCTGTTGACCTGCTACCTCTACTTGTGGAGCCCCTAAGACTACCCCCCTACCCTTCGAGTCACATGATACAGTAGCAAGGGCGGGATCCAACCAGCTCAGATATAACACACACAGCTACGGCAGAGGACAATGACGGCCCAGGAGCACCCAAAGCCATCCTCTGAAACTTGCAAGCGCCCAAAGGGGTCTAAAATACCAGCTTGAAGACCCCAATACTGCCTGACACCCCCTTGAATGGACTAGGCAGTAGAGCACGTTTTCATTCTGAACGCTATTTGATAACAACTCCAAATATCCTCGTCTTATTTTCTTTAAATTACTTGACGCGACTCGAAACAATTCAAATTGCAGTTACTCGGTTTCTATTCGCCACTGTTTAAAATTCAGCCGGATGTTTCTGGAATGTGACTCTGGCATAAATTGAGATCCCGCCGTATTTAGGGGGCGGACATGGCGAGAGCTACAGTGAAGAAAATAGCTCTAAATAAATTACTGCACGCCGCACAAGCATCTGAGGACGTGTCCCCAAAGTGCCCTGGAAGGGAATTTAACCGAAAGCGCCTCGATAAAATATCCAGCCAAACAAAAGTGTGGAATAACTAAGATCGCCTTGGATACGAAGGCATGCAGTCAGGATGGACAGCAGAGAGCATTAGGAGTGAGAACTCTGCCCTGTCTTGCATGGATAGATGTTTCTAGTGTGGACAGATGTTTCTGGTGCATCCTGGACCTGCTCGTCCCAGTGCTGGGCGATTATAGTTCGGCCCAACCTCACGCCCCCCACAAATGACCATCTGCATCATGTACTATGTGACTTCACCATGGTGACCATGTGGCAAATGTGGTCCTTAGGTGCCTTGATCAAGAAAGATACTGCTGGCCATCCTTTGTGCCATCTCTCAGAGCAATGGGATAACATCGGTGTCTATGGGCTGGACTACACCGATGGGCACAAGGGTTAGGTTTAGGGTTAGCGAAAACGATGCTCTCCATCCACCCCTGGCATGTCAGTGGCCAGATTCAATTGTCTGGGTGCTCATAGGCTCCCGCCACTTGGGGGCGATACCTCCAGCATGTTTTCCATCAAGGCCCTGGCTGAGCTCAGTAGCAAGGCCCAGTTGAGAATCACCAAGGTCACCTGACACACTGGTCTACACGCCTCCATTAGGTGTGAGAAATATGGCGGCTGAAGAGGCAGAGAAAGATGTTTAAAGTGGAGGGAAAGGGGGATAAAGGGTCAGGAAGAGGACTAAAGGGGCAAAGAGAGGGTAAAAGGGTGGGGGGGAACTAAAGGGGCGGGAACCTTGGGCTAAAGGAGCGGGACACTTAAATACCTTTTCTCCATTTGCTTGGCGGCCACAGATAGGGAGGCCATGGCTGTGACGGTCTCCGCCTCCTCTGTCTCACACTTCTGGGCCTCGATCAGGGAGTAACCCAGCGTGGAGGCGTGTCGCTGCACCGAAGGCCAGTATTTACCTGCGGAGGGGCGAGATGTTGGGCCCGAACAGAGCTCACTGACTTCCTGCAGCTCTTGCGGACGGGTACTCACTGTGGATCTCCAGAACCTTCTCCATGGAGCGCACGGCGTTGGGGTTGGGCCTCTGCTGCAGCACCTCCTGGGGCAGCGGCTCCAGCTGCCAAGGAAGGAGACGTGTGTCTATAATCACAGGCCGCACCCCCTTGGCAACCATCATAACACATTTATGCATCTGTTTTTGGCATGTGTGTGTAGAAGGGGAGGGGGTCCCTGTCCAGAGTTATAATTGTGTTATAATGAATCGCAAAATATATATATATATATATATATATATATGAGCCAACTTGTGTAGCGGAGAACATGGTCTGATCTGGACCCTGTGCCTGAGCTGGACCCTGTGCCTGAGCTGGACCCTGTGCCTGATCTGGAACCTGTGCCTGATCCGGACCCTGTGCCTGATCTGGAACCTGTGCCTGATCTGGACCCTGTGCCTGATCTGGAACCTGTGCCTGATCTGGACCCTGTGCCTGATCTGGACCCTGTGCCTGATCTGGAACCATTCCCTCCCGGCTGCGGCCCCCTCTTTTTCACCCCCATGCTAAAAACACATAGCCAAACGTCTCACTGGGTCAACATCAAATGCGATGCCTGGCTTTATTAATACTTCCTGCGGGGTTGGGGGGGGGGGAGTGGGGGTGCTCTGTGGCCCAGAGCACAGAAGAAAAGCAGGACCTGATGCCTCCGGGTCAGGCTGTGAGCTTCGTCACGATCGGGACGAACGGGAGGAAGATGGTGGAGAGAGGGGGGCAGCGATCCCGGCGCATTGCGGTGTGCCATGACATGGCCGCCGGTGGGCGCCGCGCTTTCATTAACCTCTGGGTTTAGAAGGCAGGGGGCAGCCAAGAATCTGGCATGTCTGAGTGGTAGGGGCGTGTGGAGCCAGATGCATGGAAACGGGCACGAGAACCAAAGAGACACACTGTGCAAGAAGCAGCATTATCCAGGAGTATGTGAACAAAGTAAAACACCAGTGAATGCCGCAGTTTGGTGGAGGTGACTGGATACCAGCAGAACTTCGCCATCCAAACCTACAAACACCCACAATCGTCTGAATGCAGCTGTTAGACGGAGGTTTTCAGGAGCTGGCCGGACCACAGTAGTTAGCTGATGGCTTGACCTTTCAAATGCTAATAACAGTTAATGGTATATATGGGGCTGTGGACTGAAGTCAGCCCCCCCCCCCCACCAATCCCGGCAGTGAAATATGCCAGTGCTTATTAGCAGAATAACGCCACGTCAATTTTTTATTCTGTGGAAAATGAACAACTGATATGCAGATCAGATTTAATAATGAAATATAAACAAGTAGCGGGTCACATGAATAAAATATACATGAGATTCCATGTCCCACTTTGGCCGCCCCCCCGAGTAACTAACAAATAGCTTAACAAGACAACTTGTTCACGCTCCATTGCTTAGAATTGTGACGCATTTAAGAGTGAAATTTTACTGAGAAGTTTTATGCATCCCGGCCCAGAAAGCCAGAGTTACTGCTACTTATCTGCAAAGTTATCCGACTCAGCAAAGGAATCCAGCTTTGTGATATTTTATTTCTGTTTTTGTATGACTACTGCATGTCCTGATGTGTTCACATTTCTTTATCTCTTTTATCCTGTAATGTGATTTAATTTAACCCTTATATTAACTTTGCTTCTTACAGGAAGCTGTGTGGAGGATGCATAACGCTAAAAGCAACACGCACAGATATGACTCACAAACAAAGCTAAAGTAGTGGTTCTCAACCTTTCTGCACCGCGACTGAATTTTTCCCATGCCAGGTCAGTCACGACCCTATGTCTAGAATAAATTTAAATTAACACTATGATCAAGTGGACAGCGCACACTGCAGTTTATGCCAATCAATGCCTATTCCACAAATCTGATTGGATGTGTCAGTGCATTTCAAATTCATCATCTGTGGTTTGGCTTCTTGGATTGGTTGAGTGTTCGCTAGTTTTGCACTAAGCATTTGCAGACCTAAGACCCATTTGTACAGGTTAATTCTATGACTGGGCTGGGAAATCTGATCGTGGATCAGCGTAGGAGCTTGCTGGTTTTAAAATGCTTACATTCCCGACTCCGCCTCACGACCTGTTCAGAACTTGCCGCGACCAAAATTAGACTCCAGACTCATGGGTTGAAAATCGCTACATGGAAGTGTTCTTTTGGTATATATATCATAACGTTTGTTTCATAGGAGTACCTGGAAGTTTAAATAACCTTTTAATCAATCTGCCTTTTCTTTCCAGGGTCTATCTTCATACAACCTGGAGGTAACGACACATACTAGTTACAGGGCAGTTCTTATACTAATGAATTATATATAAAATGTCATTTTTTCCTTCAGCTAATCCATGCACAGCATAATCCATGCATAATCCATGCATATCGACACAGAACACTGGTGGTGGTTCTGTGAGACAGTCATGGATTCTATGTTCTAGTCCCTATCAGACAAAGATGCCCCGAGCTGCATCCTGTCTGTCCCCTTGCACCTAGCAGCCTGGCAGGTATGGAGAGGTTCTGATGTGACCTGCGCCTGTTCCTGTGGTTCTGTCTTAAGGGGTTCAGAGTGGCTGGTTCCTCAGTGACCATCACAGTGCATTAAAAAAAAAAAGCTAATTTCTTTCCACAAGGCCTGCAAGTTAAGGAGGAAATCTAGAAGGATATCTACCCTGAAATTTATCTGGAAACGACTAAAGGAAAACAGCATTTTCTGTTGACCGCTTACTGACATGGGGATACAGTGAATGCTTGCAGAGACCCAAGATCCATCTAAGATGTTAGCCATTATTAGCGCCCTCTGTCAGGCGGGGGAAACCTCTTCCAGGTGTTCCTGACGACGGCACGGTGTTTATAAACTCCGAGGACCGCCACGCAAAATGCCCCGTGTTTACAGTCATTATTCCACCAACCTAAAAAGTCACCGCATCCGTGACTGGGAGCAATTAGCGTATTAGCTTGTTATTTATCGAATAATTGCTAACAACCACAATTTGGATGACAACAGCTGTCCGTGGGCTTGTGCCGGTTAGTCATAAATTCAGAGTTGAATAATTTCATAAAGAATGCCTCACTGATGTGTTATGGGGCTAGCAGATCAGGATTAGTCATTGTTTGGGTTCACTCGACCACTTTCAATGGGAACATAAGTGGAAATGTAACTCGGTACCAAAGAAAAAGACACTTGGATTTTGTGCGGTATCCTGTCAGGAAAACGGTCGATATATGGTCAACAGACCACACTGGCATCTGAACCGCAGCGGTCCGGCTGGGGTGGGTGACCCGTGTCTTCTCGGCCGGTGAAAGGCGGGTACAGGTCACCGGGCGCCGACTCGAGAGGTCAGGGTGGGGAGAGGCTGTCCGCCGAGGGCCATGGCGTACACACAGACTGATGCATTCCAGCCATGTGACATCACAGGCTTGGGAATGATTCCGATAAGATGCTTGTCTGATTGGGGGGGGGGGGGTGGTTTATCTGCTGGTGCTGTTCGCTTATGTACCTCCATTAGCAATCGCCTGTGACCATCTGATAAATGGGGACAGGTTGTCATGGGAATAAGAGTGTGTGTGCGAATACTTGTGTATGTGCGTGCGTATGTATTCCCGCACACCCCCGTCACACCCGACACCGAAGCTGCTGTATAACAGCCACTTCCTTCTACTTCAAACGATTCCCAATTTCCTTTGATTATACAATCGCGCCTCGCTTGCAGTGACCCCATCCTGCAGGGCTGACGGGGTCTAAGCGCTTTCAGATGTGCCCCCACCATCGCTGCCCCGGGGGGAGTGAGGTGCGATACTGACCGCGCGTGTCACTTCCTGGCTGACACAGGATATGACATAAACCTGTGAAAAGGTATACCGTTGTCAGGACTGGCAAAGTACGTATGTAACCAGGGGATAAAGAAACAGAACAGAAACACAAAATAGTGTCCCAGAGCAAATTCAGGGTCCCAGGACCGTTCACTGGTTCCTTAGTGAGCACGTAGCTCAGACCCCTGAGGAACTAAGGCTCCCCTTAGGTCGTCCAGAGGCTGGCAGTGAACTGCTCAGCGCCAGGTTCTTCATTAGCGAAACAGCGTTAGCATTATTTCATTTTAATCGCTGTGTTTATTATTCTCCTGTCCCAAAATCTGCACAAGCTGTGGGGGCTGACGTGCGTGTGGGGGGCACCTGACGTTTATGGTCCCTGGAAGTGATTTACGGCCTTGTCCAAGGCCCCCACAGCAAGCAAAGCAAACAGGCCGATCCGCCAAACCCCCACGTCGTAGGACAGCCTGGTCCATCACTCTGCGCCGGTCCTGTACCGCCTGGACCACCGCCCCTAACCATCATCCGTCTGACAGCGGCTGTGTTACAGAGCGGAGCATTCTGACACCCCTGTGACACGTTTCCCGGACTCCCCCCGCCCCGTTCGACCAGACGCAGTGAGGGCGTGTCGACCAACTCATTCTCGGCAGGACTGAGAAATCGCTCCCCGGGGGTAAATAAAAGGGTCACTTTCTGTTTTGTTTTTCAGACCTGTCCGGCCCTGTGCAGCCCCGCAATCCTGTCGGACGCATTTCACACGTGTGAGGTCACTGCTGCATTTTTTCGAAAAGGTCCCACCTCTTGTGCTTTCAGACGGGACAAAAGCAAGCAACGTGGGTATCCCAGGGGGCAAACCGGGACATCTCAGAGTTTTACTGGGAGCCGCACATCCATCCGTCCATCCATCCACCCTCTAAGCGTTTATGCACTTTCGACAGCTAAACATGCAAGCCGTCAGCACCCCCCCAGTCCCTGGAGAACGGGCCTTGTGCTGATAACCCACCGGCGCGTCAAGTTTATCTTGGAAAGGGGCGAGTCTGTAAAATTTAATTCTGCGGTGTCAGATGCCAGAAAAGCAGAGAGTGCAGCCACGAGCCCCAGAGTGAAGAGCCAGTGCTGCACCGCACAGTCTGCAGCGTGTCATCGATCACAACCACGGCCCACGCACTCCTACTACCCTCCGTCCCCCATCCACCCCGCTCGGATGCCGCAAGTTCCAATCTGGAATTGCACCAACTGGGCTCAGAAATTGAGCCTTGCCCCCACTCCATCCCAGTCTGCACATGACCACACCCCTTTTCGGGCCACAGAAATGGTCCCTTTCTGACCACTCCCCCTTTCCCCATGACCACACCCTTTCGGCCTATGACCACACCCCTTTTTGCCATGAAGTAGGGGCGGGAGTTCCTTATGGTATGTTGGCATTGGAGGGGGGCATCTCAGTAGCCTCTGATACTCTGGCAAAGCCATGCCCAGTGGGAGGGGCTATGTTTTTCCTGGTGGTCCAGTGTCACAGATGAGAGGGAGAGTGTGTGTGTGTGTGTGTGTGTGTGTGTGTGTGTGCGGGTCCTGCATATGTGTGTGCATCTGTACGTAGTGTCAAATATACCAAGGACCCTCCCCATCGGCCGGCACTCACCTCGTTCCCCAGCAGGGCGGAGACACACGCCTCAGAGGCATCACAGATGGCGGTGAGGTCGTGGCCGCCCTCCAGGGCCAGCACCACACGGCCGCCGGCCAGCCCCATCAGCTGCCGGGTCAGATATCCGAAGCCTGGCGCAAGAAAACAGGAATCAGCAGCCGGATCAGGGTCGAGGCTGAACCGCACCAGGGCGGGAGAGGGCGGTCAGAGTGTGGGGGGGGGCGGTCAGAGTGTGGGGTGTGGGGGAGGGCGGTCAGAGTGTGGGGGGGGGC